ACCATAAGGGAGACTGCGGACAGGAATCCGGGAGAGCCACTCATCCAAGGATGGGTGGTGGACCGAAGTGTGGGTGCACAGGTGGTGTGCTATGTGGTGTTGATGACAAGCTAGAAGGACTACTAATCGGGCGGCTACAAATCAGGTCACTTTTTCTGAAACAGAGTTGCAGCGCCCGACACCAATTTTCCTTTTTGACTGGGGGTAATTAGTGTGAGCGTCCGCAACCTGAAAAGTATCTGCTGCCCGACAGGTGACCGCCTCCCTCGCCAAACCTACTCTGAAGAAAAGTAAGAATGGACTTAGAGTTTTGATGACGCCAGCGGCGGGTCACCAGTGTGACTTCTTAGGGTCCGGTGTCGGAATGGCGGCGTTTTGCACACACGGCCGAGTGGTGTGCAAGGAGGTGTTGTGTCGAGCCCGATTCGTCATGAAAGTACCGTCTATGTTTGTTTCATGACCGTGGTATCGAGTGTAACCGACCGGTCACCGAGGAGCTACTCGGTCCAACCAGGTGGGGTATCCTTTGAAGGGGTGCTTAGACGCAATGACAAATACTTGTGACGGAATCGCTAGTACCGCCTGTCCCCCCACGAAACGGCCGTTCTTCAAGCAAAAGAGCGAGCGGAGGACGAAGCAGCGCTCCATGAAGGACCGCCGAACGCTCTCCCGGGACACGGTGGAAACCGTGAAAATGGGATCGCCTGACGCCAAACGAGCTTTTTCGAGTGGAAGAACCAAGGGACGTGGAGGGCGATCTCCTTCGAAGGCGAAGAAGCCACCGGGCCTCGCCGGGACCTTCTCGACCGATACCGGCGGATCTTTCAGCACCCCATCCCGGGTCATCAGACAGATCGCTGCCCGCAAGAAAACACCCGAAGGCTCGCGAACGAGCAGAGAGAGAACCCGAAAGATCTCGGAGCTGGCCCCCCAGGAAACGAGCTAAGGAGGACGTACGCCCAAGAAGAAAAGCGGTCGCGGCAGCAAACTATAGAGCAAGAACGAGCCACTGAAGTGGCCGTCCACGAAGCCCTACGTCGAACACGAGGCAGCCGGAAGCAAACGAGCGAAGGCCGCTGAGCCGCGCAAATACAAGCAGGAAGCAGAGGTTTCCAAGCGACGCGTTAGAACAAGTCCCTGGCCGCCAAGGCTCCCAGGAAGGACTCCGAGATAGGCACCGGGGACAGGCTGACGGTATGGCTCCGCCGACACCCAGTTCTCCCCTGGGGTACCATCCAGTCCAACCGCGCGCTTTTGGTACGGGTATGTGAACGGGGTCAATTGGAGCATCGGAGTGGTCAAACGAACAGGCAAGATGCAGCCATCGCCGCGATAGGAATTTTGCCTGTGGCCGCAGCACGCTGCCGAAGCCTGGGAGTGGGTGAGTGCCGAACTCGCCCATAAGCGACACGCCACCGGCCCCCGACGAGATCGGGCGAATGGGAAGTCCCTGTGCCCGCCAATAGTCGAGTGTGTACGCAATCCGACGGCTCCCTGTTAACTCATACTCTCCGTTCTGTAGAATCTCTTCATTCCCTGTCTGGGAAGGTGGGCGAAATTCAATCAATGGAATGGAATCGAATCATTCGATTCGAATCGATTCGAACAATTATCGTGGTATACGATTTTAGCAAAAAGTGACTGAAGACTGTGTTTGGATTGCTCGCAGGAGCGAGCCCTTGCAAAGCAGAAAAAAGGGTATCCATCCCGGTCATCAAATCTTTGGAAGACAACCCAATGCTCTGGCTACCCGAAACTCTACCTAGCTAGCTATAACTGGTAGGGGGTTCTGCGGGGAAGGTATCTACGGAGTCTTTGAAATTGTCCACAGTGTATTGCATTTCACTGACTGCAGAAGGTGCATCTTTCTCTCATAGAACGAAGCAGCTCCACGTACGTTCCTCAGTTGACTCATCGTTAAACTTTCATCAAGCCCATGAGGGTTTGGGACGAAGACCGTCTCCTCAAGCAGCTCGCTCTTTCGCGACAGGCTCGAAGTAGCGAGAGGAAAGAGTTTGGTGCCGGTAGCATCAGACAAGACCCAGTGGCTTTCCTGTTGCTATTCGTCCGTAAGTTCGGCGAGAAGCACTGCGAGTTTCTCCTCATCCCGGCCAGCCTCCAGGAACCCCTGGAAGAGGCTTACAACAAGACCAGCGTCGAAACTCTAAACAATGAGTTCGTTCGTTGGGATGAAGAAGAAGAGGATATGGAATATGGCGTTTGGATTGCCGATCAGCATGAGGATGCATCGGATGAGGGTTCCTTTCAAGGAGGTCGCTACGAGTCGCGCTACGTGGGCAAGGCAATCTTCCGTACCGCCGCCAGTGGCAAGCCATTGGTAAAGATGGAAGGATCCCCCGGATGGATGGAAGCCATGAAGCAAAAGTACATCAATTTGGATGCCCAGAGTCGAATGCTGCGTGACAACAAATCGAACATGAACCACGACAAGAACAAAGGAGCTGTCAAGGCCGTGGCAGCTGCCGCTCTCGGAGGAGGAGCCGCGGCAGGTGGAAGTAGTATCTTGGCAGCCAATGCCGCCGCTGCAGCAGCAACCGCCAGTACTGTTTCATTGGATGCCTTTGGTGCTGGTGCTTTTGCCTACTCGGGTGGATTTGGTGCCGCAACACAGACGGCAGGAACTGCCGGTGTCGTGGCAGCTACCCCTGTCGGACTGGTTGCGGCAGCCGGCGCTATTGGTGGCCTTGGTTTGTACTATGTGATGAATCGTCGAAATCGGAACAAAATATCGCAGGAACAAGAGGAAACAGGAAAGAGCGTCGTGATGGATGAACAGTCCGAGACCACAATGGTAACCGAAGACGAATCAGGAAGTGACGAAGATGTTCCCTCTGGTTATCAACAAGTAAGCGGTAAAAGCAAGGCAGAACTAGAAGAAGAGAAGAACAGAGGTGGCGCCTTGAATTGCTGGGTGAGTCTCTTTGCTCAGAAAATGGACTGGGAAGACACCCAGCATGTCTTTGTTCCTGCCGTGTGCATGACAATAGAGGAAGCAGAGCGCGAGTTGCAAAACAGTGTTGCCATGAATGCGGTCGCCAAGGCATTGTTCAGTCCAAATGGTACACTCTTGCTAGTCGAAACTGAAGCAGGCGACCGAGACGGTTGGGGAACGGCGCTTGCTCTCAACTACGATTTCCTAGTAAGTAACCGACTCCTTGGAGCCATGCAAGACGCGGACGAGGACACGGAAGAGAATAGACCTTTATTGGCGACGGTAGAAGAAACGTCGGCAAAGCAGGAACAAGGAACGAATTGGATTTTTGAGAAGATCCGAAAGAAGAGAGAAAAGTTTGGCTCTGGTACCGGTCTCCCCGCTCCTATTGTTCGCTGATAACGGGGCGACTGTACCGTCTGCTTTTGCTTGCCAAGGATCGAGCCGTTTGGCGTAGCGTACGATCGGCCGTACGACTATACTAAAGTAGAGAATTGTTTGATTTGAAAACTTGTGTGTCCATGTGTCTGCACTTCCAAAGGCTTCCGCGTGCAACTTCACCTGCTTTTGATCCCATTTGCTACCCGAAGGCGCTGGCCGTCCAACAGCACCCATTCTCCTCAGTCATGGTAACAGTACATCTAGCAATTTCAAATCCACCGTGAACAATTCGTATCAAGTAGCAAAGCTTTCTCTCTCTCACGAACGAACGAAGAAACAAGCATCTAGTACATGTCGAAAACATTGCTGTTCTTGCCCACCGCAGGCAAAGACCTGTACATGTATGTATGTTGAATTTCAAAATTAGTAAGTAGGAACGACATTCTTTCTGCTTGCACAGTTTCTTCATTCATTTGTCCCAGGATCTTTAGACACACAAACGCTTTGGATGGAGGATTGTTGCTGCTCTTTTTGTTTGTTTGTTTGTTTTTGAAGAATAGTCATGGAAGCTGACTGCCTGCTCGCAGCAGATTGTTGCGTTGACTCCCACCCATTCTTGTAGCAGAAAGTAGTGCCTCGAGTCATAATATCGACTCCATCAGATTTTATAAAATTAAAAGCCATCATCAGGGATCTTCACCTGTTTGATCGATCGATCGATCGATAGAATAGTACCACGGAGAGAGTTGAGAGTCTTCTGTTACTTTGCAAATCACACAATAACAAAAGCAACGACAAGACGAGTTGTTTTTGTTGTACCAGTACCGGTAGAACACACCTTCATGCCATCAAAGTTTTCCGTCACGAGTATTTGACAACCAAGGCGAGATCTTTTGAAACCAAAGAAACAACAAAGGATTGGCCTCGAGCGTCAAGTTGTGTGATATTTTATGGTTGTTTTGAGTTAGTAACCAAATTTCTTACGTTTCCGTGAGCTCAAATGCCAGATCCAGCATGTCCTCTTCGTCATCGTCCTTTTCAGGAAGGGTATCATAGATTTCTTGTTCGAATACGAGGTGACAGGTAGAGCACGCCAATTCACCTCCACAGGCACCTGCATGGACAAAGGATAACAAACAAACAAACAAACAAACAAGTTTCAATACATGGAAGAAATGCAAATTTGGACTCCCGGATATATATATATATATATACGGTACTACGGTAGCAATATCCTACCTTCCAGTTCCACATTGTTATCGTGTGCCACGTCCAAAAGATTTTTGCCGAGTTCAGCCTGAACCTCCCTCTCCGTTCCGTCCGCTTCCACGTACGTGATGGACACTGTTTCAGCCATCTTGGTGGGGCCTTTCCAAGGGCAAAATGAGAGCAGGAGAATTGAGAATGGAATGGAATGAGGAGGAAAAGAGACCAACAATATTCATCCGTTATCCTGAGCTAACTCACGCGTCGTGGAGTAAGTCCGTGCTTGCCATTGATGCAACAAATCAGCCGGTGTTGCAGCAGGTGATGATGGCACTACTTGAGCCGCATTCCCTCGAAAACCAACATGTAAGACCCCACTGGATAGTCGTCGGCGAATGGATGGATGTGTGACGAGTCGTTTCATTGTGGTGCTTGAAACACGCTGTGTTGTGGCTATCGGGACCATCGTGACTATTGTCGATTAATGGTACTGGTCGCAACCTTTCTCTTCTTCTGGGCTGCAAGGTGTTTGTATAATATCAAAAGCTTTGGGCTCCTGCTTGTGGAAGACCAACGAAACTTCCTACATTCAGTAGAGGAATGAACTTTCGTGGATGAGGTTGTTCTGACTTGTTTTCCCTTGACTGACGTCACATTTTGGAAGCCATCACCCGCACCTCTTGGCGCGCCAAAACTATTGCCACAATTTGGCTCAGAATCCTCACTTTTTGACTTTTGAGAACGCCTCCTTCCGCACATGCCGTGCGGCAACTCTCATACCGGTAGCTGCTCGTAGCCCTTTCACACCGTCGTGCCTGTTGGCATCAAAGATTGCACCACAAACGATCGTTGGATCGCCAACTCTGAGTTGCACCGTTCGGGTTGCTGTTGTTTTGGTTACACCGTTTCACTTCCTCCTTCTCTCCCATAAAATCACCACTTGGTCAACCATCAAGCAATAAAACAATAAACCAAAAACAACTACCTGGTACTGTGGTGCGTCAATTAACTTGTGTGCTCAACCACCACCATGTCGTCCAGCTACCAGCTGCGCCTTCGCAAGAGGTCTCCAGTGCCAACTCCATCCAAAAAGAAAGCTTCTTCCGCCGAAGCGGCCTCGTTGAACAAGGATATCGTCGTCAAACCCACTACCTCGAATCCCAAGTCTAAGAGACTTGCTACTGTCACGCCTCCTGCCAAGAAGGTCGGTCTTCCAACAAAGGTGGCCACGGCACATGTCAAATGGATCAGGTACAAGGCGGCACAAGCCGCCAAGGATGCCAAGGCCGCCAAGAAAAAGGCTGCCGCGGATGCCAAAGCAACGCCGCGACGCCGAAATCCTCCAAGGCAAAAACTCGACGCCACCCAAGAAGAAAATGAAAAAAGTCGGAGTATGGTTTTGTCGGTGAGTACGAACGGTACAATCTTCCCGTGGATGTGAATCTGTTTCTGCGAAATCCGTGCAAGATTGCCGGTTGTACCCTTCTCCCGCCCATGGACTATGGCGACAAGAGCACCAAGACATCTCCCGATCAGACATTTGCTTTCTTGCTCCAACGCATTTCCGATCGAAACTACGCCATGAGGTCGGTTTGCGTCGACGGCGGTGGCATTGTTTACACCAAGTTCCGGTGTCACAGGCGTTGGCGTCCCGTCTGGTTTCCGGAAACCAGCTTGAATGATCATTCCGATAATGACAAGATTGTCGACGTGTGTCATTTGGAATTAGTGCAAAACATGACGGCAAGGACGTTGCTCACTGAAGCAAACCTCTGGAGGCCATTGAGAGTCGTGCTTCTGCTACCATTGACTTGATCTTTCTAAACGCGTGCAAGAGCGGCGAGACGATTGCCAAGGCCATTGACGCATGCGGCGGGGAGCTCGAATGCGTGTCTCTTGTCGAGTGTGCCTTGACACCCGCGGTTCTTGCCAGTCTGGTTAAATAAATGATCTCGTACCTTGAAGGGTATCACGCTGAGCCTAGCTGATGTCAGGGGAATCGAAGACAAGGACTTTGCCAAGTTTTTGGATGCTTGTCCCAATCTTCAGTGGCTCTTTGTCGAGATTGAATATAAGGTGCCCAAGCCAAATTTTGGAAGGGAATCATGGAACGCCCTGGCGAAGCAACGCTCCCTCAAGGTGTTGTGGATTGACGACGCTGGGGTACTGCGAATCACTTCCTTTGTCCAAAAGATTGTGCATACGCTCTCTACTCAAGGCCAGCTCAAGCTTTGCATGATTACTCCAGGAAAGAGTCTAGAGACAAGGTGCGAGAGGACTTTGACAGAATCCGAAAAGGCCAGGAAGAACGCCGAGAGGAACGCCGCCGAGGAGGCACTCAAAGAACCCGTTTTGCATCTTCTCGACATTTACTACTCACCCATGCCAATACAAGCGCTTGACAAGGAACTGTGCAGAGACATCAAAGGGGCGAAACATGATGACATCCATTCAGCCCTGACCAGTCTACAGCAGGAAGGAAAGGTCCAAATTTCGTTTGAAGGTGTTTATCTCACAGACTACTAGATTGGCTGGCAATCTTCCTCCCCTTCTGCGAACGGTTGAATACGATATATCTGGATACTGTGCCGAACGATTGCATGTACCAGTACTTGGAAATAGATGACCTGCTGTACAATCCGTAGGTCTGAGAATGAACGCAGCATCGATGAAAGATGCAGCTGTAAGCAATAAGTTTCTATAGCTAGAAAAGTTTGCTCCCGTTCAAAATCTTTCGTTGCATTTTTAATTAATAAAGCATCTCGGGGACCACAGTAACTTCCGCTTGTACGGCTGGTAGTTGGCTCAAGGGCATGACAACACAGGGTGTTCCAATCATCGTCACGATGACAATCTTTGAATTGCCATTGTCCCCGCTACTGTCAGTGGATACGTTGCAGTTGATGCTTAACACAGCATTGCAACCCTCCTCGACGGTTTTTTGCAAGAGAATACTCTGTGCTTCCTGCATCAACCCTTGCACTATTTTGCTCATCTTAGTCTGTTCCACTTCTGCTCTCAACCCATTCAAGCAAAGAAAAAGTTTCAGCGGAAAAATGGAAGAAAGCGAGGATGGTACAATCCAGTCCGAGCCAGCAAAACAGAGAGTATTATCAGAACTGATTGCAAGGATGTGTTTTACACGAAAATCCCCTTTGGCAAGATAACTCACGATCATTGTGGCGAGCATGAAAAAAGGCATGAGATACATTGGCAAAGAGAATGGGCTTGGCTTCCACCACGGTTGAACCTGGCAACGTCGGAAGGGTGGATGCAATCACTCGATCTCGGTCACCCCATTCAAAGGTGAATTTATCTCCCGGTTTAATTGGCCTGGATCCTCCACCGTCAGTCACAAAATTGTCTGGAATTCTCACAGAGACTTCGCGTCCTTTGATTGAGACTATCATTCTATCGCCGGCTCCCTTGCCTTGAGGCACCGTCAACCGGTACTTTTTGATCTCAGGGTCTAGCTTTGTGGGTTGCGCCACACCGGGGAGAGGAGGAGCATATGCTCCTCTAAGTGTGCCGCCTGTGGCGAATCTGGAGGCAGACAGTCCCATGGTTATGTTGGAGTCCTTTAACTACTATAATAGTAACTTGCCTCTGGGCAGCGTTTTATGGGGATTGCTACATGTAGATTCTCCTTGCCTCGTGCCTCGGTGGTACTAATAAGCCGGTGCGTATCTTGCGCTCGTCATTGTCCCTTGTCCCAAAGAAAAGATGACCCTGTTTTTTAAATCTTCCAGTCTTGTCATACGTCTCCAACACCTGACTCCAAATCAGCTCCCGGTCAGCTACTATAGCGACAGGGGGTAGGGAGCACTACATACAGCCTGTGCATATGAACAGGGAGGATGCCCGCAGATTGAGAGCAAGGCCAGCCATTTTTTTGGCCTGAATTCAAAAACGTCCAATTTCCTGTGCAATCGAACAGGATAGCGACGCCTGTTCAATTGCACAGGAAATTAGACGGCCTGTGCAATCGAACAGGATGGCGACGTCTTGTTCAAATGCACAGGAGCTCGATGTCCTGTTCAAATGCACAGGAATTGTGACGTTTTTTTTCTGTGTAGGCTTTCTCATTACTCAACAGTATAGATCTGACATTACATTCAGCATTACAGTCAAGCATGTCCTCTGCGTTCAGTCAAGCTGATGATCAACTCTCCTCTGCTATCTCGCAGGCCGAGGTATGGACGTCTCCACCCGTAATCATTCAAGTAGCTGGATCTCTCAAAGACGATGGAGACAGAAAGGAAATCAATCTTATTCCAACACTCGGTCACAATACTCGCAACCGATCGGAGCCCAACACTGCTATTGTGCACTGGCTCCCAAAGGAATTCTCTACAACAAAAAAAAACGAAATTTTATTTTTAAAAAGGCTACACCTCGTCAGACGATCCGCTGAACAGTCCCGTGACGAACCCATATACCTCAGGCGCACGAGGGCGCCCACTTAGGATGGGCCTAGTGTAAGCCCCCCACCGGCGAAATTGAACAAAACTCCGGAGGGTGCTGTACGACTAACTATCTAAGCTAGTGTAAAGATCTTTCGAGTGTTTTGAGTTTGAGAGAATGAAAGTTATGAGAGAGATTAGAAAGCTATGAAAACTAATCAACGAGAGAGATCATCATCAAGGGATCGTAGATCTGGCCTCCCGCGGGAGACTATAAAGTGTGATAGAGTAGGTTGCGGTAGTAATCCTACGTATCTCCACGATCCTAAAACGGAACGCGTGGAAGGTTTGTCTAGCATGGATCTAGTAGCGTGGAAGTACTCCACGCTGGCTAAATATCTAGAGCGATGTTTCATCATCAACCTAGTATGACTAGAGCGGTCATTGAGAACCCTGTCTCAAATGACTATTCACGAGAGACTCAGTCATGAGTCGAACTCAAACCCTATCTAGGATCGAGTCGCGAATAAGGCTAAGAACTTTGTATTGCATTCGCCCCCTGACAAAGGTCACAGAAGGCGCGACAGCAGTCGGACAAGGAGAACATATGATTTAAAGTGCGGGGCACTCTCATGAGATTGGATGTAGACATGTGCGTCGCACGATGGCAATCCTACAAGGGGATCAGGCCTTGTATGGGTGTATATACCTTATGTTCCAAGTCTGGTAGACTGTATTGCACACGGTTTCCATCAAATACAGCAGTGGCCAGAATTTCTGGCAAGAGTCTACTGCTTCCATCCAAATTCTCGTAGTCTGAATGAATATCCTGCTTTGTTGGGAGATACTCCACATTAAATTGACTCGGTGTAGTCATTGTTGAATGAAAACTCGGCAAAAATCCTGTTCGTTTGCACAGGCGACGGGTGCCTGTTCGTTTGCATAGGAAACTTCCTGTTCGTTTGCACAGGCGACGGGTGCCTGTTCGTTTGCACAGGCGACAGGTGCCTGTTCAGTAGTACAGGAAATGAGAGTAAATCTCC